GCCAGTTTCCTTTTTTTTTTTTTTAACTGTATATTAATGGAAATGGAATGATTTTATCTCTAACTCACCAATAGGAGTAGTCAAGCTCACTGGATGCTTTTTAAAAATACATGCACTGTTCAAATTCTGCTGATATTTATCAACTGTAATAGCTGCAGCCAGAAGAAAGACAAGAATACAATGTCCATGAACTAAGTTCAGGCACAAGTTTACCATGAACACGGGGTAGTGCTAGAATACAGACCTTATAGAGCCTTGCAAAGGTTTTCACAAAACACCAATACAGACCTTATAGAATAGAGCCTTGCAAAGGTTTTCACAAAACACACCCAGGGAGGCGACAAAGGAGCCTGTGAAAACAACTGCAATTTGCATCTCACATCCCTATGTACGACTGTGTCGCGGATCTGTGTTGTTCAGGAATGTGCTAGCCACATTTCCACTGCCACTCTGATCCACTCACAACTAATGTGTGACCCCAAACTGTCATCAAAGAGTTGGAAACTTACTCTCTATGGCCTCAGCTTTCTAGCATTCCATTTTTTAGTTTCCATGGCCCCAAGGCAGTCACAGTATTCGATTCTTATTCTATCTGCAATCCTCCTCCTACCTTTTCTTTCTAAATGTTACAGATATTCAAGAGACACCAAGAATGATAATCTAAATTACTATGTCAGTTTGCAATATGAAAAAATTCTGCTGCTTTAGTAAAGTGTTCCACATAAGAACGTACTTAAAAAACTGTCACCATTAACATAGTTCTTGAAATAACCTTGTAGAGTGGTAAAAATATGTTTATATTTTCTCTAATATCAAACTTTTTTTAAAGCTATTGGAAAAATGAGCATAAAAGAACAATAGTACAAACAACTAGCAATTAAAATTCCACATAAGGATAGCCCATGGGAGAGATTCTTACCCCCTCTCTAGCTCATTTATATTAAACAAAATTATTTAAGAGATGTAAAGAGTCTATAACAGTGTAACTTAAATTGTATTCTGTGGCACTGAGGCAAAAGGCAATTGGAGGTGTGTCCTGAAGGACAACAGAATTCAAAATGGCAGACCTTAAAGAGGCAGATGACTTTTTTTTTTTTTTGGCTCAATAACTTTCCACCGACCCTTTTTTGTCCTCAATAACATCCCCTCCGACCGTTCCCCCCCCCCCCACACACCCACCTTTTTTTTTTTTTTCTCAACAAAAACAACCTGCTCATAAATAAAAATTATTTTTTGGTATTCTTAAAAAATTTAAGAAATACTGATCTATAAAAACCCTGGGCATGGCTGGGGGAGAAGAGGAGAATTCTTCTAGCACAGTGACAGGATATCCTCTGAGGACTTTTGTAAGCTCTCATGTATATCAGTGTTCCCTCTAAACTGGGAGACAGCACAGCTTCACAGTTGATTAATCAGCTCTGTGCAAGGAGTCCTGATCCTCTCACCAATGGGGCAACTTAGAGGGAACACTTTAGGGCTGCAGATTCTGGATAGCAGAGCTGTCAATAAGCATATGCGGTCCGGCTGCTACAATTAAGACACAGAGGGGTAGCCGAGTTAGTCTGTAACAGGAAAAACTTAAAAAACAACAAATAGTCTAGTAGCACCTTAAAGACTAACAAAACATGTAGCTGGTATCATGATCTTTCATGGGCTGTCTAAATTATACTGAGGAGCACCCCAGAATCAAGCGGGCACAAGAGTGATTAAAAGCCATCCCTTTTCCCGCCTACTGGGATGTGTAATCTGCACAGCATCTCTAAGAGATGCAGCACAGAATTTCAACCCAATATATGTATTAATAATATTGCACCAGGAACAAAGATCTAATTCATCACCTCCAACTTTATCTTTCAAAATTACCTCATGACATTTCCATGCTTTCCAAATTTCTTATCTTCTCAACATAATACTCAAGCAGTTTTCCGCAGAAAATCCATTATTTTAGAAAAAGGAATATTTATATATGATATAAAAGTAGCAGTGGCTTATTTTGGTTTAGCTTAAGGCTGTATTATTAGAATTGGGAGCCTTAAAAAACTATTGTGATCGGACCTAGCACTTGATAATACTTTTGGAATTGTCAGAGATAAACCCTGTTTTCAACGCAGTATTTTTATTTTCCAAGAAGTTATCAGAAGTTATCGAGGTCATTTGAGAACTTATGGCTCCCTCTGATCCCAATATATTTGGATTCATAATGTAGTGACCTGACACAATATCCACAGTATTATCTGTAAGATATTTTAGTGTTTGTGGTTCAAGATTAGACATTTTACAGGACATAGTATATGTTTTGCCTCTTGTGGAGTCACTAAATGTTTCAGTTTCTTAAGCATCCATTTCTTACCTTAACATATTTCAATTTCCCTTAAGTGCAATCTCAGCTTCGAATTTCCTGGGTTTGTAACACTTGGGACTATATATATGTACAAGTTTACTTTTTGAAAAAACCCGTGCGTTACTAATACCGTTTAATCACGAATATAATGCACACTTTTTTCCAAGTTTTTTTGGGCAAAAGTTGGGGTGCGCATTATATACAGGAGTTATTGTTTAAAGTTTTATTTTGGCAGTTCCATGTCAGAAGATGATGAACCTCCGTTATGCCGATGCCACGCTAAGACAGCAGTAAACATGAAATCAACATCAACTGAAATGGCAGAGATTCCTAGAATGCTTTAAAATATTTAAAAACAATAAATAATATGAAATTTACATCTTACTTTTCATATGAAATAGTTTATAGTTAATTAATTGCTGACATTTATGAAAATAAGTTATAAACATGGACGCCGGATGTAAAGTTGAATTTTATTCCCATAGACTAGCAATCATATAGACTTTCAAAAAAGTAAATAAATGAATAGTTCGAACATGCAAATATGGTAATAGTCAGTTTCATTGAGAGAACTTGATCTTCTACTCATCTTCGAAGCCCTCGAATTCACTGTTGTTAACATCTTTGTTGAACAGACGAGCAATATCTTCCAGGGTATAGCCCTCGACATCTTCATCCAGGTAATACAAGTCATTGTAGTCTTTGCCTAATTCGTCTTCGGCCGATTCATCATCACTCGGATTGAGTGCATCATCTGTCCACAGGGCATCATCCTCGCTGCCATCCATTGAATTAAAAATGCTGCATTTCAGAAACCTCTTCCTTATTATAGTGGGATCAAGTTGAAGCCAGACATCCACTATCCACTAGGTCACGTCTTGCAGCGTCGGTGTTCGCATACGTCCACCTGCAGTAAATGTATGTTCACCTTCCAACAACCAGATGTTCCATTTCCTGTCACGTCAAGCGGTTGCAACATTTTGGTCATTCCACCAGGAATAATTGCCAAGTCTGTTTTGTCATGCTGAAGCCTTTTCTTGATCGATGGCATCCGATGACAATGAAATGCATCCAAAACTATTACAGACCAATTTCTCATAAGTCCACCCGGCCGCTTCACCCAAACCATCTGTAGCCAATCAAGCATTACAGCTTCATCCACCCAGCCTTTAGGGTGAACACACACATGAACAGTCTTCGGGAATATAACATTTTTTGACGTTGTCTTGTGCTTAAAGACAATATAAGGCAGCAGCTTCGTTGCATCGGCCATGCAAGCAAGCATTACCATAAACTTCAACTTTTCATGCTCTGTGGGAGCAATTGAGACAATCCTGGCACCTTTCACTTCAAGCATTCTGTCGTAAGGATTATCGAAAGTTAAAGGTGTCTGGTCTGTGTTACCAATTAATGAAAGGTCATACTTGTGCTCCTTCTGTAGCTTTATGATAAACTTCTGGAACTGTAGTAATTTGGCGTGAGAGTCCACGGGTAGCTTCTGCGCGATTGCCATTCGTCATCAGACCGATAGGCCATGCCGATGCATGAACCGATTGCCCCAGCCATACAAAGCTTTAAACCTGGCTGTGTTAGCACACGTCTTCGCCATGGTCAAAGCCGTCACTCGAACCTCTGCAATGCTAACACCACCGCCTTGCTGTCGAAGCTCAGTAATCCACTCAAGTAGCTTGGCCTCCATCTCAGGATATGCAGTGCTTCAACCTCGCTCACCCATCTTCGTCCGAGGCAATGCTAGCAGGCGCTGTTTCCGCCATCTCCAAAGTCGAATGTTCGACCCTGCTATGCCATCAAATTCACAGCTGGCAGCTCTGTTGCCATGAGCCTCAGCGTAGCTAACTACCTTAAGTTTTTCAACTGCAGTGTAAGATCATTGACAACTCATGGTATCACTAAGAATCTATATTTTTCTAGGCCTATACGTAGGATTAAAATCAACCTAATTTAAAGGTAATAGAGTGTTGAAACGCCGCGTATTCTATAGTTGTACTCTCACATGAAATCAACCGGCAATAGAGGCAGGAAATATGACGCGCTGGCATACCATAGACTTGTAATCAAATAGATCATATTTAACGACGCCTTTGTATCTATGATGATGGGTATCATAAAATACATGTACAATGGGCAAAATCAGGGTGCACATTATATATAGGAGTATAGATTTTTTCATTATGATAAAATTCGAAGGTCAGGGTGCACATTATACATCGGTGAGCATTATATTCGAGATTTTACGGTACATACGCTGACCTTCACACAGATTTTTGCTTGGAATTTACTGAATAGTTTTCAATTATTAAAACATCATATACTGGCTGAATACAATACAGGTTGAACCTCTCTAGTCTTGTATGTAGGGGG